TCAAAGTGCTTGCAGTTGTTTTTTGGGAATTCAGCAATACAGTTCTGACCCAGGAGAGAAACCACAACGCAAAGTGTCAAGTTAGGCAATGTGTGAGTTAGTGCCCAGAGAAGATTTGCTTAATTTGAAAATAGTCACCAATCAGGGCAGAAAAAGAGCTCCTTGTTTAGAAGCATAGGCTATTTCAGATATAGACCAACAAGATTTTTCTCTTGTCAAGCTTTTTCCTTCTTTGAAATTCCAAGTGGAATGATCGATATCAATCCTGTTAGAATAAGACTTCGTTCCTCTTTTAATAAGTGTGTACACTAATTTTGTAAAAAATAACACCCCACCTTATCATTATTGCTGGAACATTGTTAAAAAATACATACATGTATCACTCATCATTGGAGTCAATACAATTGTAATAAAAATTTAAATATTTTGCAAAATAATGAAGATATCTGCAGTGGGAATGGCATCCATGTATAAGAGGTGCCCTTGTGCAGGGCACACCCTGAGCACCTGTACGTGGAGCCCAGGTTTTGGAGCATTGGTAGTCCCTCAGACTCCCTCCTTGTAGGTGCACACACACATTCCAACAAAATCTGCCCCTCCTGTGAGGTGGGTGAAACATACATAAATAACTAATCTGTCTGGAGCCCAGGGCTAAGCTGACACTTACACAGCAGGACTTATATTGGTATTCTAATGTGGGATATTTTATTCTCCTTAGAAAACAGCTAACCTTCTCGGGGCGCCTGGGTGGCTCAGTCGGTTAAGCGTCTGCCTTCGGCTCAGGTCATGATCCCGGGGTCCTGGGATCGAACCCCGCATCAGGCTCCTTGCTCTGCGGGAAGCCTGCTTCTCCCTCTCCCTCTGCTGTTCCCCCTGCTTGTGTTCCCTCTCTCTCTCTCTCTGTCAAATAAATAAATAAAATCTTAAAAAAAAAAAAAAGAAAACAGCTAACCTTCTCTTTGAACACTGAAATGCATATATCCTTTCAAAGGAGTGTCTGAACTTTTCTCTGGTATGCTACGAATAGTGCGACCTGTAAGGAATGTCTATTCCATCCGTGTCCCTTGTCCCTCTAATTGCTGCTGGTCCCATAGGCCCAGCAATTGTAACATGTTGCACGATTGGATCTTCGTCCTCCAGAGCAGTTCCCACACTTGCTCCCCACCATTTGCTCACCGCCTTCAGTTGTTTTGTATTGTAGGGAAATACACATAACGTGACATTCACCATTTTCACCATTTTTAAGTAAGCAGCTCAGTAGCATTAAATACATTCACAGTGTTGTGTGACCCTCACCACCATTTATGTCCAGAACTTTTTGCATCTTGTAGAACTGGAAATCTATATCCATGAAACAATTACCCCCCATTTGCCCCCCGCACTACTCTCCGTCTCCCTGAATCTGACTATTCTAAGGATCTCACATAAGTGGAGTCCTATGGTATTTGTCTTTTTGTGACTGGCTTAGCCGCAAATCCTCCAGGTCCATCCATGTTGTTGCCTGTGTCGGGATTTCCTTTCTTTCTAAGGGCTGAATACTACTCCATTGTACATATATACCACATGGTGTTTATCCGTTCATCTTTTGATGGGCGCGGGGGATGGGGTGTGCGTGGTGGGGGTTGGCTGTTGTGAATAATGACGCTCTGAGCACAGATGTTCAAATATCTGTTGGTGTCCCTGTTTTCAGTTCCTTGGGGTATATACCCAAAAGTGGAATTGACTGGATTATCTGGTAAATTGAGCTGCAATTTTTTGAGGAACTGCCCTGCTGTTCCCTCAGGGGCCGCACCATCTTCCATTCCCACCCCCCAGTGCACCCGGGTTCCAACTTCTCCACACTGATCAATTATTTTTAATCAACTCTCCCTTTCTCCTCTTAGCCATATCCTCTTTCTGATCGTTTCTTACCTTTCAATACTCGCATTGCTTTTGCAAAAACCAGACATGACGGGATAGAGTCTTCCTTACTTCGAAACAAGCACAATGGCAGTGACCAGAGGTCACCTGGAATGAGATGGAATGACTGCTTGACCTCCAACGCCATCTGTTGGAGGTGGACTGAGTAACAAGCCTTGGCTCCAACATAAAAAGCCTCAGGAGCCAATTCAGCCTACATAACCTCTGGGCTGGGCTGGTTTTGCCAATGTGTTCCTGTCTCAGAGGCTTTGGGAAGGTACTTGGAGGGGGTCTAGATGACTGGAGGCTTCAGATGGAGGATTGAAGAGAGTTCCATGTGCCTGATGCCCAGAGAAGTAGGGTCAGGGTAAGGTGGAGGGTGGTGGACAAAGGCAGAGAGATGTTTATTCAGGGCATTTCCAAAGAAATAGGGATGCAAGATATTTACTAGAGATCAATGCTTGTGAAAGGAAAACAGGAGAATGGGATTGGGCAGAGGAAGAAGTTGAACTATGATACAGCTCCAACAACCAGCAATCCAGTACTGAGCTCTGGAGCAAATTGTGCCCATGAGTCAAACTAACTTTCAATGCTTAAAAGAAAAGGAATATTCAGATATTTGTACACCATGTTCAGAGTGACATTATTCCCAACAGCCAGGGTGGAAACCCCCATGTCCATCAACAGATGCATGCTTGGGTCCACCAAATGTGGCACATCTACGCAATGGAATCTTATTCAGCCTTAAAAGGGAAGGAAAGTCTGGGGTGGTGCCTGGGTGGCTCAGTTGGTTAAGAGACTGACTCTTGGTTTCGGCTCAGGTCATGATCCCAGGGTTGTGAGATCGAGCCCCCATGTTGAGCCCCACACTCAGTGCAGGGTCTGCTTGTCCTCCCTCCCTCCTTGTGCATGTGCATGCTCTCTCTCTCTCTCTCTAAAATAAATAAAATTTTTTTAAAAAGGAAGGAAAATTTGACACATGAGACAACATGGATGAACCTGGAGGACTTTATGCAGAGTAAAATAAGCCAGTCATGGAAGGACAAACACTATGTGATCCCACTTAGGTGAGGTACCTAGACTGGTCAAAAAGACGGAAAGTAGATGGGCGCCTGGGTGGCTCAGTCGGTTAAGTGTCTACCTTAGGTTTGGGTCATGATCTCAGGGTCCTGGAATCGAGTCCCACATCAGGCTCTTTGCTCACTCTCCCTTTGTGCTCTCTCTCTCTCTCTCAAAGAAATAAATAAAATCTTACGCAAAAAAAAAAAAAAAAAAGAAAGTAGAACGGTGGTTGGGCAGGGCTGGGGTGGGTAGTATTCAGCATGTCTATACTTAAGACTACTCAACTGTACACTTCAAAATGGTTAAGATGGTAAGTTTTAAGTTATGTGTACTATACCATGATTTAAAAAAGCAACAAAAGAAGTGAAGAAATGTATGATGCAGAACGACAGGATGTCTAGAGTACACTAGACCCAGGTATGGTCTGGGCAGGGCCCTGGCTCAGTTTCTCTGGATCCTAGTTCTGTTTCATGTGTCTGCCTTGTCCTCACAGGGGCTTCCCTCTTCAGCAGCTGGGACAACGTGCTCACTTGTTCACATCCAGCGGGAGAGAGGCACCTCCCCCAGCCATGGAACAAAGTCTCTTCTGTCAATAGGATGGGACCATGTGCCCAGCTCATGATCAATACCAGACCCAGGTCAAGGCCATGCATTGCTGGGCTGAGATTCTGAACCGATTCCTGCTGAGGGACTTGGAATTACCATATTGGAGTGGTCTCAGCAAGGGTGAGGGGTTCCATCAGGGGTGGGGGGTGAGAACCAGTGGTGTCTGCTATAACCTCGTCACAATCCTAACAGCAACACCCTCTCATCCGTTCCTTTCCCCTTACACCAGCCTTCCGCTTATTATGTATGTGAAATCCTTGTGAGTAATGGAATTCATACTTGACCCACAGCAGGTGCCCAATGTAGACTCCTTGCTTATTTGACTCAAGTTTCATGTCCTTGAAGGGATAAAATTTAGGAGAATTGCCCAGTTTGGTGGTTGATGTGTTTTCTTTTCTTTTAAGATTTTATTTATTTGAGAGAGAGAGAATGAGAGACAGAGAGCATGAGAGGGAGGAGGGTCAGAGGGAGAAGCAGACTCCCCGCCAAGCAGGGAGCCCGATGCGGGACTCGATCCCGGGACTCCAGGATCATGACCTGAGCCGAAGGCAGTCGCCCAACCAACTGAGCCACCCAGGCGCCCCGATGTGTTTTCAATAGATACATCTCTACTTTAGAAAAATGAAGTTTTGGTCTCTGAAAAACTTTGTTTAATAAAGCAGCACAGTCAACATTGCCCAAGCACAAGCCTAAATGTAGAGTTTCATGGCCGGGCCTGTTCCCTGTGGGACCAGGTCGGTCAAATGGCAGAGCAGGACAGGGGCTGCCGGTGGCGGGGTGAAGCGATCGCGGGAGGGTCTGCAGAGTGGAGCTTTATTAAAGTCCAGCCACGCTAAAGGCCACAGTGGTTCTGACGAGACAGTGCTTGTGGCTTGTGCCCAGCTGCTGTCTTCCCTCATCGCTCCAGGGCCCTTAGGGAGCCTCCAAGTTTTATCTGACCCATAGCAAGTGTTCTTACCAGAAGTGTTGGTCTGCTCCTTCCTTCCACTCTTAAGATCCTGGATGAAGGGAATTTTAGAACTCAGGAGGCCTTAGGGAATGTTGCCTCCAAGGTTAACAAAGTAGGGGCCATTTCATCTGGAAGAGAATTCTCTCAATAAATCTCCATTTCCAATGTTAATGGCTCTAGAATGGGGGCGGCATTTGGTCAAGGTGGTCTTAGGCCAGGCCTCCCAGGGGTGGTGGGGAGACTGCAGGGGTCACTGTAGGGGATTCAGAGCTATTGTTCCTTGATATAGAGCAGAGGAGACCCTGGTCTTTGTCCTCATCTCTGGAGTTCTTCCTTGTCTCCTTGTGTCTCTTTCTTCCATCTCTCCTTTCTCTGTAATTCTGTCCTTATTGGCCCAGAAGTGGGATGAAAGTATCCTTTAAAGTGTTCATTGTATTGTTTAATTAATACAGTTCTATGTTTCTGATTGTTTATTCTTTTTCAGTGCATGAGCTGAAGGTATTACATTCATCTCTAAGCAGAGAGATGGGCTCATCACTGGAGAGAAGATCAGAAGGGAGATAGGTAACCAGGTATTTTTTATTTTTTTAAGATTGGCTCCATGTCCAGTGTGGGGACCCAGCACGGGGCTTGAACTCACAACTATGAGATCAAGATGTGAGCTAAGATCAAGTGTTGGATGCTTAACCCCCTGAGCCACCCAGGCTGCCCAAGCAGGTTTAAGCATTCTAAAAACTTAATATGCTAACTCCCTGGGAGGTGGGCATAAACAACTGCCGTCAGTGTAATAGAAGTTCAGGAATATACCAAAACTGCACTTTGCATTGGGAAATGTAATTTGCTGAGAGTACTGTCTCTTGGTTACAGCAACAGCCCCGTGCATGTGATTTGTACTCTCACAAAAGCACCTTCTCCCTAACAAGTGAATCACAGTGGTGCAATTAACAGACTATTGTGATGGTGGACAATCAAGCAACTGCTTAGAACCTTATTTTTCTCATATGTAAAAGGAGGAATGTGTCTAGAGACCCCTAAAATGCATCTCTAAAGTTCTGTCATTCTGATATGATTTTTAAACTTTTCTACAGCTTTATTGACATATACACCATAAAATCCATCCTTTTAAAGTGAACAAGTCAGTGGTTTTCAGTATATTCACAGAGTTGTGCAACCGTCACCACTATCTAATTTTATTTTATTATTTATTTATTTATTTGACAGAGAGAGACACAGTGAGAGAGGGAACACAAGCAGGAGGAGGGTCAGAGGGAGAAGCAGGCTTCCCGCCGAGCAGGGAGCCCGATGCGGGGCTCGATCCCAGGACCCTGGGATCATGACCTGATCCAAAGGCAGGCGCTTGACGACTGAGCCACCCAGGTGCCCCTTATTTTATTTTTTTCCAGCACAGTTCTATTTAATGGAGGTGGGCCTCAGGATGTTCCACTATGATTAATTAGTCCAGGGACCTGTCAACATTAGGTAGAGAAGAAGCCACCATCATTCTTTCTCGAATAGCCTCCATTCGTGGCTACAGTGTGAGGGGACACTATGGATCCTTCGATGCTATGGATAGACTCCTTCTTCAGGTTGATCCAGTGTCTGATGTTAGCTCGGGAAATGATGGAAGGTGGCGGAGGAAGGGGTAAAAGTTCTCCAGGGAGTTGGATCTTGATGATTCCATGGGTATCCTGGGTGGTCTCCTGGTGTAAGAGTATTTCACTTTTGTTCTTGAATGTCCCTGTGTGGTGGTTGTACAAGGCTGCTAAGCAGAAATCCAGGTCATCCTTTGGTATCTCAGGATCAAAAAAATAAACATCCCGCCTCATGGAGGTGATTGTGGGAGTTGAGCTGAGCTGACTCCAGGGTTCCTGTTGCTGAGCAAGGTGAGCTGGGTTCTTAGATGGCAGTTTCTTGGAAGCCTAGAGTTTTCCCAGGAAGGTATCATCATTATCCAACGTGGGGTGCTGGAAAGTGTCTTGGGTGAAAGGCACGGTAAAAATGCAGAGTGAGCTGCTGGTGTGAGTGCCACCACTGCCTAATTTTAGAACAGTTTCATTACCCTGAAAAGAAACCCCATATCCGTGAGCAGTCACTCCCCAACCTCCTACCTCCACGCCTGGCAACCACTAATCTATTGTCTGTCTAGATTTGCCTGTTCTGGGGACGCCTGTGTGGCTCAGTCAGTTAAGCATCTGCCTTCAGCTCAAGTCATGATCTCAGGGTCCTGGGATTAGGTCCTGGGATTGAGTCCCACGTAGGCTCCTTGCTTAGTGGGGAACCTGCTTCTCCCTCTGCCTGCCACACCCCCTGCTTGTGCTCTCTCTCTCTCTCTGACAAATAAATAAAATCTTAAAATTTTTTTTTTTTTAGATTTCCCTGTTCTGAACATTTGGATATATGGAATCATACAACATGTGGCCTTTCGTGTCTGACTTCTTTCACTTAGCATCATGTTTTCAAGGTTCTGCCATGTTGTAGCAGGTGACAGGAATCCATTCCTGTTTGTGGCAGGATAACATTTTACTGTATGGATATACTACATTTTGTTTATGCATTCATCAGTGGATGGACATGTGAGTTTGAATATTATGACTAACACTGCCATGAATATCTACATGCAAGTTTCCAGTATGACTTTAAGTGGTTCTCTGTTCCAGCAGATCTCGATAGACTTTGTACCCCTGTGGGTCATGGGATTGCAGGAAAGAAAAGATTCTCCATGCCTGCCTTTCAAAAGAAGAGAAGGAAAGCCCACTGAGAGGCATAGACTGGAGTGCTGGTACCTATTTGTTGAGTGACAGAGAGCAAAGGATCCAATGATGGTAAATGGCCAGACTGCCCTTCCTAGGCGTTGATGGTAGATCCAAATGGATTAGATACAAGACGGGTAAGTTATTAAATAGTAAGTCCTAGGAGCACATTGGATTAAAAAAAGAAAGAGAAAAGTGAGGTAAGTGTTCAGAAAACCTCTCTGCCACATACATAATTTATGGGAGACCCAGAGCCACATGGTACAACTCTAGGAGACTCTCAGGATGGCCATACTATAGACTCTGAATGAATGATGCTCTCTGGAGTTGTGCAGTGCACAGCCTGCCCGGCCAAACACAGTGGCAGTGGGCAAAGCCTCTTTGGGTAGGGATGAAGGTTGACATTCTCAATCAGCTTGCCTTGTTTGCCAGGGCCAGCGTGTCCACGTCTGCTCCATGGGAGCCTAAAAAGCATAGGGTCAATACCGAGGAGTACATTTTCTATTTTAATTAAAACATGACTTCCCGGGGCACCTGAATGGCTCCGTTGGTTAAGCATCTGCCTCCCTGCTGAGCAGGGAGCCTGCTTCTCCCTCTGCCTCTGCCTCTCCCCTCCGCTCCACTTGTGCTCTCTCTCTCTCAAATAAATAAATAAAATCTTAAAAAAAAAAGAAATGGCATCTTGCCATTCCCCACTGTCAAATTTTCACCCATGATGATGTTTTATAAACATGCATATATATTCTAATAAGAATATAGAATTTAATAATCGATTATATATAACATTTAATAGAATATAGAATATATATGATGTAACATGGACTATTACATTCTATATTATTCTCCATATTATATTTATCTATAAATATATAAACATTCAAACATATTTATAAATAAACATATAATATGCATATATGAGATACTATATGTAACATAATACATATTATATGTTATATATAAAATATAATATTTAGAATTAATATATTCTAATAAGAAGTGAGATGCAATTAATGAATCATACACATAAGCCCACCCTAGTGCTGCAAGGATGAAATCCTCACTTACTTCAAAAATACATTGTAAGAAAACATACATTGCATATTTCTGTCCAATAGGAGGAAATCACTAATTACCGTAGGCAATTAATCTTTCTATGAGTTCGTTTTAAAAATTCAAATATTGTAATTAAAACATTGCTCAGGGATCCAATTTAAACTTAATGATACTTGCTAGCAGGCACTGATGTTTTAACAGGGACGATAATTATGCTGTCGATGAGTGATGTGGTGATTAGCTGCCCCACGTGTCACCGCCGACAGCCTTAAACAAACAAACAAGCCTTCTCCACCACTCACAGCCTCTTCACCGCGGGTCACAGAAACTGTCTCCTGCTGCCTTGTGACACCCACGTGCCCAATTCTTGCTTCATGAGAATATTTCTTCAAAGTACAGTGCAGACTCACTGTATCGAGAGCAAGCGATGCACAAGGAAGGGGAAAAGGGCTCTGGAAAAGGTGTCTGTGGCCACTCAGGAAGTGCGTGTGTGCTCATGTGCATTAATGTGGGTGTTGTTCTGATCAAGGGAAGGCAGGCCACCAGAGGAATGCAAAGCTTAAAAAGTTCATAGCATGGAGACACTGGCCCGCTCAACTTTCCGCCAAAGAGGACAGTACTGGAAGGGAGAGCCAAAGGAGTACTTTTCCAGGGGAGAAAACTGGCAAATCCTCAACCAAGTGATCAAGGTTAAGTCCACAGTGATGAGTCATATTGCTGGTAGGTAACCTTGACACAATACGACCGGAATGGTACTAATCGCGAGAAAAACATCAGAGGAATCAAAACAAAGGGACATTCTACAAAATACCTGATCAAAGCTGTCAAAGTCATCAAAAACATGAAAACCCAGAGAAACTGTTACGGCCAAGAGAAGCCTAAGGAGATTTGACTTCTAAATGTAATGTGGTATCCTGCGTGGGATCCTGGGACAGAAAAAGGATGTTAGGGGAAAACAGAAAATCTGAATAAAGTATGGACCTTAATTAATAATAAAGTACCAACAATTGGTTTACTAATTGTGACCAATGTACCCTACTAACGTAAGATGCTAATAATAGAGGAAACTGGGTGCAGGGTATATGGAAACTCTTTGTATTATCTTCTCAAGAATTCTGTAAATCTAAAATCAAAAGTTCATCTTTTTATTTAAAACAAACAAACAGGCCCCCTCAAAGTTGACCAATATTTAGGTATTCCCTTGTAAAGTGATTTAGCCCTTGCAATTGAGAAACCAAGGAACTCAGAGTTTCAACCCAAGGCAAAAAATATAAAGCCCACTTTCTGTGGGGTCCTGACTGGGAAACAGGCCTCCCTAATAAAGCCAACTATTCACCATGCTGGTGACATTAACATCTTCCATCTTTCATCTTGAATTCTTGAACTATGGATATCAGAGGTACATAGGGCTAACAGTGAGGTATCTTCTAAACTCTCAGAAGGACGGAAATAAGAATAAAGTTATCCACTTTAGAATTCACCCCTCAATTAGTAAAAACTATGGAACCGTCTTATAATATGATGGAAAATTCAAGGGTCAACTGAGGGCAACAGAACTGGGCTGTGGTTGTACTGAACTGTGTGGAATCTTATGCCTCTGTCCTCTGCCTTGTTTGGAGAAAACATATCTTTTATTCACGATAGCCGAGACATGGAAATTTTCTTTTTCTTTCTTTCTTTCTTTTTTTTAAAGATTTTTATTTATTTATTTGACAGAGAGAGACACAGCGAGAGAGGGAACACAAGCAGGGGGAGTGGGAGAGGGAGAAGCAGGCTTCCTGTAGAGCAGGGAGCCCGATGCGGGGCTTGATCTCAGGACCCCGGGATCATGACCTGAGCCAAAGGCAGACGCTTAACCGACTGAGCCACCCAGGCGCCCCACATGGAAATTTTCTTGACTAATTTCTTTAACTAAGACTTCTAGTAGTGTTGAGAAACAGTAGTGAAAATGGGCATCCTTGTCTTGTTCCTGATCTGAAGAGTAAAGAGTAAAGCTTTCATTTTTCACCATTGATCACGATGTTAGTTGTGGATTTTTCATAAATGTCCTTTTATCATGTTAAAGAAGTTCTAGTCCTAGTTTGCTGAGTGTTTTTATCATGAAAGGGTGTTGCATTTTGTCAAATGCTTTTATTTATTTATTTATTTTGCATCTATTGAGATGATTGTGTGGATTGTTCCTCTTTGTTCTATGAATGTAGTTTATTACATTGACTCATTTTCTTGTGTTGAACCACCCTTGCGTTCCTGAGACAAATGCCTCTTGGCCATGGATGTAATCTTTTTGATAGGCTGTTGGATTTAGTTTGCCATTATTTTATTGAGGATTTTTGGGTCTATATTCATAATTGATATTAGTTGATAGTTTTATTTCCTTGTGGTATCTTTGTTTGGCTTTGGTATCAGGGTAATGCTGACCTCATAGAATGAGTTAGATAGTGTTCCCTCTCATTCTATTTTTTGGAAGAGTTTGAGTAGGATTGATATTAATTCTTCTTTAAATGTTTGGTAAAATTTACCAATAGGGCACCTGGGTGGCTCAGTCGTTAAGCGTCTGCCTTCCGCTCAGGTCATGATCCCAGGGTCCTGGGATTGAGTCCCACATCTGGCTCCCTACTCAGCGGGAAGCCTGCTTCTCCCTCTCCCACTCCCCCTGCTTGTGTTCCCTCTCTCGCTGTCTCTCTCTCTCTGTTGAAAAATAAATAAAGTCTTAAAAAAAAAATTTACCAATAAAGCCACCTGGTCCTGGGTTTTCTTTGTTGGGAGTCTTTTATTTATTTATTTATTTATTTATTTATTTATTTATTTATTTATTTATTTATTTGAGAGAGAGAGCGAGTGAGCAAGGGGAGAGGCAGAGGAAGAGGAGAGAGAGAATCCCAAGCAGACTCCACGGTGAGCACAGAGCCCAACGAGGGGCCTGACCCTACAACCCTGAGATCACGACCTGAGCTGAAACTCAGACACTTAACTGACTGAGCCACCCAGGCGCCCTTTTCTTGAGAGTCTTTTTAAAGGACTGATTCAATTTCTTAACTTGTTAGAGGTATGTTGCAATTTATTTATTTATTTATTATTTAGATATAATTGAGATAACATTATATTAGTCTCAGGTGTACAACATAATTATTCGATATTTGTATGTATTACAAAATGGTCAACACAATAAGTCCAGGAAACATCCATCATTATATATAGTTATAAAAAAGTTTTTTCTTGTGATGAGAACTTTCAAGATTCAATCCTCTAATTAGTTTCAAATATGCAGTACAGTATTATTATTTTTTTAAAGATTTTATTTATTTATTTGACAGAGAGAGATACAGCGAGAGAGGGAACACAAGCAGGGGGAGTGGGAGAGGGAGAAGCAGGCTTCCCGCTGAGCAGGGAGCCCGATGCGGGGCTCGATGCGGGGCTCGATCCCAGGACCCCGGGATCATGACCTGAACTGAAGGCAGATGCTTAACAACTGAGCCACCCAGGCGCCCATGCAATATAGTATTATTAACTATAGTCATCATTCTGCACATTACATCCTCATGACTTATTCATTTTATAACTGAAAATGGGTAATTTTTGACCATCTTTAGACATTTTTTGCCTCCCTCCCCTGCTGCTCCCTGCCTCCAGCAACTCAATATCCATGAGCTCATGGTTTTTGTTTGTTTTGTTTTGTTGTTTCTTTTTAGATTCCAGATATAAGTGAAATCATACAGTATTTATCTTTTCTGTCTGACTTATTTCATTTAGTAAAATGCCCTCAAGCTTCATCCATGTTCTTGCAAATGGCAGGATTTTATTTTATTTTTTTTAAGATTTTATTTATTTATTTGAGAGAGAGAGAGTGAGTAAGAGGCAGAAGGAGCAGGGAGAGGGACAGAGGGAGAGGGAGAAGCAGGCTCTCCACTGAGCAGGGAGCCTGATGCGGGACTCGATCCCAGGACCCTGAGACCATGACCTGAGCCGAAGGTAGACACTTAACCAACTGAGACGCACAGGTGCCCCAGGACTTCATTTTTTAATGGTTGAAATGGTTGAATTTTAATGGCTGAATAATGTTCCCTTTTATATATACTATACACATAAAGAACATGTTGATGTTCATTCATTCATCCACTGATGAATGGACATGCATCCTTTGATGAACATTCATCCATTGATGGACACTTAGGTTGCTTTCATATCTTAGCTATTGTAAATCATGCTGCAATGAACATGGGGGTACAGATGTTCCATTTTCTTCAGATAAGTACCTGGAAGTGGGATAGCTGGATCATACAGTAGTTCTACTTTTAATTTTTTGAGGACCCTTTATACTGTTTTCCACAGTGGCTGCACCAGTTTGCATTCTCACCGACATCCCTTTTCTCCACATTCTCACCAACACTTGTTGTCTTTTGTCTTTTTGTTAAGAGCTGATCTGACAGGTGTGAGCTGATACCTCACTGTGGTTTCGATTTGCATTTCCCTGATGATGAGTGATGTTGAGCATTTTTTCTTGTGTCTGTTGGCCATCTGGATGTCTTCTTTAGTCTGTTGTGATTTTTAATTTCTTCTTGAGTCAGTTTAGGTAATTTGTATGTTTCTCAAAATCTATCCATTTCATCTAGGTTATCTAATTTGTTGGTATACAGTTGCTGATAGTATTCTCTGATAATCTTTTTTATTTCTGGCAGGTCAGTAATAATACCGCTGTGTCTATATCTGATTTTTTCTTAGTCAGTCTAGCTAAAGGTGTGCCAATTTTATTGATTTTCAAAGCACCAGCTTTTTGCCTGTTGTTTCTATTTGCCTTGTTGATTTTCAATTTTATTTCTGCTATAATCTTTATTATTTCCCTCCTTTGTTGGCTTTGGGTTAGTTTGTTCTTCCTTTTCTAGTTCCTTAAGATGTAAAGCCAGGTTATTTCTTTGTTTTTGTTTTATTTGTTTTATTTTTTTTTATCTTGTTGATTTTATTTCTTTATTTTAAAGATTTTATTTACTTGACAGAGAGACACAGTGAGAGAGGGAACACAAGCAGGGGGAGTGGGAGAGGGAGAAGCAGGCTTCCCACCGAGCAGGGAGCCCAATGTGGGGCTCAATCCCAGGACCCTGGGATCATGACCTAAGCGGAAGGCAGACGCTTAACAACTGAGCCACCCAGGAGCCCCTATATCTTGTTGACTTTAATCATTGCAATCTGTGTACCCCATTGGTATAACATTTGCTCTCTACATGGTTGGCCATTTCTCCACAGACTTCTCTGGAAACTACAGAGTTACAGGTCTCGAGGCCTCTGTATATACAGTGTATTACTTGGATCAGCAGAGTTCTCCTGAGTCACTTCATTCTGCTTCAGCTGAAGCTGTGGTCTCTTATTTTGATTCACTCTCTTCATCAGTAACAAATATTGTTGGTCTTGTTTCTCTCTTGTTTCTTTCTTGAACAGGTGATCGAGGTTTCAAAGGATCTTCTGGCTGCACATGTTTGCAGGGACATTTCTACCTGCTTGGCTGTCTTTTGCACCTTTTGTTTGGTCATCACGGTCTCAGCCAATGGTCCCAGGGGTGGCTTAGACAACACAAAGCACCACTCCTGACACTTGAACTGATGAATTCCATTAGACCGTTGTACTCTGATCCCAGGATGAAGCAAAGGTATAGCAATGAAAGACATGTAATCAGCTCTCGCTTCCAGTCCAGCATTCACCAACTTGATCACTGTCATCATGGCCACCATTTTCTTCTTACTGCACTCTCCGTCCTATGGAACCAGATCAGTGGTTGATTATAAAAGGATGTAACTCAGGAACAGCCAGGTGGAGGAGTGAGGTAGGGTGAGGTCTGGAGAAAGGGCACGCAGCTTCCCTGCCCTCTCCAGGCCGCCATTCTCCCCAAATCTCTATTTGTTTTAATTTAATTTATTTTTTAAAGTATGCTCTAGGCCCACTGTGGGTACCAACTCAAAACCTCAAGATCAAGAATTGCACGCTCCACCAACTGAGCCAGTCAGGCGCCCCTTGTTTGTTTATTTCAAATGTAAGCATTTAGGGGTGCCTGGCTGGCTCAGTTGGTGAAGCGTGCAACTCTTGATCTCAGAGTTGAGTTCAAGCCCCACATTGGGTATAGAGCTTACTTATAAAACAAATGTGAGCATTTATATCCATATATTACTCCTGATCCCTGCTTTCACTGCATTACGTACATTTTGGTATGCTGTGTTTTCATTTCCATTTGTTTCTAAGTATTTTCTAGCTTCCCTGGTGATTTCTTCTTTAACCTGCTGGTTGTTTAAGAGTTGTTTAATTTCAATTATTTGTGAATTTTTGTTTTTCTCCCATTAATGATTTCTAGTTTCATTTTATTATGGTCAGAGAAGATACATTATATGATTCAACCATTTAAAGAGAATTGTTTTATGACCTGAAAACATAACATTAGAAGGTCTATCCTGGCAAATGCTCCATGTACGCATGAGTAGAATGTGTATTCTGCTGTAGTTGGGTGGAGTGCTTTGTGAGTCTGTTAGGCCCCATGGGTCCATGGTGTTGTTCAAATCCTCTATTCCCATATTGATCTTCTGTCTAGATGCTTTATCTACTATTGAAAGTAGGATATCAAAGTCTCCAACTATTATTGTATAACTATCAATTTTTCCCTTTGGTTATCAGTGTTGCCTCATTTATTTTGGGCCTCTGGTTTGGTGTGTATATCTTTCTGTTATACCTTCTTGGTAAATTGGTCCTTTTATCATTACATAAAGTCTTTGTCTCTTGTAACAATTTTTTAGTTAAAATCTATTTTGTCTGATATTAACCTAGCCTCCCCAGCTCCTTTGGTTATTCTTTGCGTGGAATAGCTTTTCTATCCTTTTACTTTCTACCTATTTGTGTCTTTGCTTTTTTTTAAGATTTTACTTTTTGAGTAATCTCTATACACAACAATGGGCTCGAACTCACGACCCTGAGATCAAGGGTCATGTGCTCTACTGGCTGAGCCAGCTAGGCGCCCCTGTGTCTTTGGATCTACAGTGAGTGTCTTGTAAGCAGCGTACAGTTGGAATGGGGAGCAATTACTTACTGGGTCCAGGGTGTTCTTCTGGGATGTTGACCCCCCTCTAGTGAACTTTTCATGTCAGCTGTTGTACTTTCCAGCTCCAGAATTTCTATTTGGTTCTTTATAAAAATAATTCCTATTTCTCTAAGACGATTCCCTACTAATTCATACTTCAGTCTCATGATTTCCTTGAGTTCTTTGCCCATGGCTCCTTCTGGCTCTTGGAGCATATTTAACACAGGTCATTTAAAGTCTTTGTCTTATAAATCTAACGTCTGGGCTTCATCAGGGATAGTTTCTGACCGTTTCTTTCTTTCCTGTGAATAAGCCATCCTGTTTCTTTGTATGCTTCCTAATGTTTGGTTGAAAACTGGACAGTTTGAATACTGTAATGTGATAACTCTGGAAATCACATTTTTCTCCCTCCCTGGGGATTGATGTTGGTGCTTTTTTTTTTTAAGATTATATTTATTTATTTGAGAGACAGAGAGAGCATGATCGGGGGGGGTTGGTGGGGAAGAAGGAGAAAGAGAAGCAGACTCCCTGCTGAGCAGGGAGCCCAACGCGGGGCTTGATCCTAGGACCCCAAGATCATGACCTGAGCTGAAGGCAGATGCTTAACCGACAGAGCCAGCCAGGTACCCCTGATGTTGGTGCCTTTTAAGGTTGATAGTCATTTGTTTGTGTGGTGGCTTTTCCAAATGGCTTTGGCTAAGACTCTATTCCTTGTTATGTGTGGTCACTGACTTCTCTGTTCCATCATCTCCACAGTCAGCCTGTGATCTGAACACCTGAATCCAGTAAGAAAAGAAAGGGGTACCTGGGTGGCTCAGTTGGTTGAATGTCTGACTCTTGGTGTCCACTCAGGTCATGATCTCATGAGTCATGGGATCGAGCCCTGTGATTGGCTCTGCACTCAACAGGGAGTCTACTTGAAGATTCTCTCCCTCTCTCCTCTGCCCCTGCCCCTACTCATGCACTCATGCTCTCTCTCTCTCTCTCAAATAAACAAATAAATCTTAAAAAGAAAGAAAGAAAGAAAGGCTGTTTTATCCCTTTAAATTCTTTTGACAGAAGCTGCTTCAGCCTGAGCAATTGAAACACGGCCAGATCTATGCAGGTCTCTAAGTGATCCACCAGGCAGATCAAAACACACAACCCTGATTTGGGGGGGACAAAGTCCTTATGCCCACCCTAGTACCATCATACCACACCAGGAAGTGTGCCACCTTCTCTGAGGCTGCCTGCTGTGGCAGGGGGGTGCGGGGGCTGGTGGCTGCTCCACAAACACAATCAAATGTTCTTCAAGCTGCTGTCTCAGGACCTGCTTTACAAGCCACAGTGGTGACCATGATGATCAAGCAGCTGGGGGTGTCCTCTGGCCCCTGGGGCTGATAAGGGTACTACATGAGGCACAAGGCTCAGAAACGCACCCAGACTTTCTTCAGAAGTATCCATCATCAGCAGCAGGGAGATACTGCCGCCAAGAAGGTCGGCTGCCACCAAAGAATCCAAATTTCTGTAGCCGATTTTAACCCTTTCCCCGTGCAACCTCTGTTGTGAACTCCTTGGTGCATTAGGAAGCACACACTTCCATTCTGCAGAGATGAAAGTGAAGAAGGAAAAAGAACTGATTCTGAAACCACGCTGATGAGAGCTTCACTGAGAAGCTTACTGGAGCCTCCAGGGACCGGCAGTGCTGAAACTAACACACACATGCTTTCTAGTTGTGAGCGGTTTTATTCTGGAGATAAAGCGCAGGGAGGCTTGTACATAAACATGAGAGCTGGGAGACACAGGGCTGCCAAATTAACCCTTCTATGGAAAGGTGCAGCTTTCAACAAAAACAGGGACCTGCTGGATTTCTGCGAATGACTGATGATGGAGGCCCTAGGCTGATAGGAAACAGCATCAGGGCCTGCCTTCCACTTTCAGAAGTTGGGAAGAAGTAGGATGCCTGGGTGGCTCAGTCAATCATCTGCCTTTGGCTCAGGTCATGATCCAAGGGTGCTGGGATTAAGTCCTGCATGAGGATCCTTGCTTAATGGGGAGCCTGCTTCTCCCCCTGCTTGTGCTCTCTCTCTCTCTGACAAATAGATAAATAAAATCTTAAAAAAAAAAAAAAAAAAAGAAGTTGGTAAGAAATGAAGGTGCTTCTGAGCTGCTTCTGAGTGGAGTGGGGTCAGGAGGGCCTTATCAGCATACATCCGACCACCATGGCCCCAAGCCAGCGGAGAGCCCAAGCATGACCAGCGTGTTCTAAGAGAGCCATCTTCAGCCATGTCCGTCTCCATTCTGTCCTTCTTGCCTCCCCATCCCCTTAATCCCATCATTTGCCAATTCCCTTCACCACCTGCAGCAGCTCCCACAGGGGCCCACTGACTTAGCCCATTCATTAGGAATAAACTATTAGACCAAGGCATTGAAAATTTTGCATATTACACTCAGTGAATTTTATGAAATATTTATTCACTCAATTGTTCATTCATTCCAGAAATGCTTATTGAGTACTTGGGAAGTGGGAGTTTGGGTGCTAGGTGCAAGGAACGCCTGGGGAAAAGAAGTTGGGAAACACTCACTCACCAGCTGGGGAGCCAGAAAAGTGGATGGAGAATGAGAAACTGAGGCCATAGGTGGCAGGAGAAAGACCCCACCGGGGACTCTGCCTGGAGGGAGGGAAGGGTGTTTTTTGCCAAAGGCAGTGGCTAGGGCTTCAGAGATGGAGTGGAGGATCAGAGAAGTGGGCCCCAGGGAGCAATGAGTCTCTCCAAGGGATCAGTTTCCATTCTGGCCCCTGGAGAGCAAGACATATGATATCCGGACCAATCCAATTATTAGTCCTCAAGGGACCATGCAGAGGAGACACAGTGAGGCTGCTACAATCTCACGATTCAGGCAACTGAGGAAACACTATTCAGATACAAAAGGCAAAACACTATTAAGTTATAAAAGTGGGGAGCAATGGGAAGCCTGCCTCAATTATCCAGATATTTGCTTTAGTTCTTCATTTCCTGTGACCAGTGGAAATGATGATGAGGTTTGGACTAGAGATCATCTAACATGGTATATCCAGGGATTGGGATTATTTGTATTTCAGTCACTCAGCCACCAACCATTGCTCTTTTTCCCCACTGCAGAAAAAAGAAAAAGAAAAAGATCTATATATAATTTCCTCCATAATCAAGAAGTTTTGGGAATGACATTACCCTTGTTACCTTCTCCACTTTGCTCCAATGGCCAGCTTTATTCTCTAGGAAGGAAAGATTATGCTGGTTTTATTATTATTTTTTATCATCATTACTATTTTATTTTTATTTTATTTTATTTTATTTTATTTTTTTAAGATTTTTATTTATTCATTTGAGAGAGAATGAGATAGAGAGAGCATGAGATGGGGGAGGGACAGAGGGAGAAGCAGACTCCCTGCCGAGCAGGGAGCCCGATGCGGGACTCGATCCTGGGACTCCAGGATCATGACCTGAGCCGAAGGCAGTCACTTAACCAACTGAGCCACCCAGGCGCCCTCATCATTACTATTTTAAACTAAAGGAAATATAATAGAACAGGGTAGAGGAAAAACTTGTGGATGTCTCCCTCTTTGCCCTGCACCTTAGCTCTCATCCCTAAACTCCTCTAAACAAAGTGGGTCAGCCTGAGCTACTGAGAGATGCTCACAGAGACAGATAATTGACAAGTATTTGCAGCTTAAATAATAGGTCACCAGGACAGCAAGGAGAGCCTTGATCCTCAAAAGAGACAACCAGGGGAGATTGTCCCTGGTCCCCTGAAAACCGCTCCTCCCTCCCAAGCAAACAGGCACCAGGGACAGCCCTCCCTACCCCCCAACCCCCATCCCAATGGCAGCCACCTGAGACCCCTCCACTCCATCCCAGAAGGCTACGACAGGGCAGGTGCGCCTCCATCCCTGAAGCCATAGGAAACTGTCTGGCATTTAGGCTAAGCACAAATGGAAAAATCAAACCTACAAAAGACCATTTCTGGTAAGAAAAAGAGAGAGAGAGAGGGAGATTACATACCGTCATAATTAAATTTAGAAAAAGAATGGTATTGTTCCTGATTGTTCCAACTGCATTCGTTTAAGAATGTTTCCCCCTAAAGTGAATAGTTTGCAGAGTTCTCTTTGTAATTGGATACCAAATCAAATGGTAAAAAGCCAGTCAAATTTAGCAGTGGGGGGTTGTATACCAACTTTAGTGACACTAATGTTAATAAGTTCTGATAACCCACTACCATCGGACCAGCCGAGGAAAGTGCTTTCACTTTCGTTATATAAATCTCTTAAGGAGCTACTCCAAATCACTTAGGATGACATGTTTTAATAATTTTTAAAAAGGTTTAATGTCACACGAACCATACGGTTTGTTGTGACAAGAAACAGTCTATTTCCTGGTTATTTTCCTTGAATTTTGGACAGTTTAACACAAACTGATATTCAAAATGAATGTAGTTGCATGATGGGAAATAGACAGAAATGACCAGGTGGAGGTCTCTTGTCCTTCACAAATATCTTAGGACACTCAGAGCTCACAGAAAAAAAAAATAATGAACATACTTGTGCCAAATGTCTAGCAATAAAGAAAAAACATTTAACGTCAGCAAAATAAGCTTTGATTTTTTTTTTTTTAAATCGTCCTCCTGTCTATGATCTGCAAAATGCCTTTCTGATGCTCGGCAGCAGCAGATGGCAGTAAATACACAGAAGATTCACTTTCTGTCCACTTCACGCGCAGAGCTTTGGCTAGAGAACTTCGTAGCCAAGAGCACGTTTAGGGTTCACACTTTTTGTTTTCTGGACTTCTTCTTCTTTTCCTAATAATAATCCCTAATAGTCACAGTTGGTGGAATAGTTATGCCAAGTTTAATATGACTGTATCCTTCCGTTTCCAGAAAGACTGCTGTTGCAATGCAGAGGTAGTCATAAATGCTGAAAATAGCCTTTTACCAAGGGTTGTGTTGGTGGAGTCCCCCTCAGTGATTAGGTGTGAGCACCCTGGCCAAATTCCAGGTAAGAAATCTCACATTAGTTGGGGAAAAAAAGGATCAAGAAATCTTAGTTATTATCTGTGCCTGACAAATCTTATGTTCTGTTTTATAAATATTTTAAAATACTAAATGTTAAATTGAATTGGAGGTTTCAAGGACAGAAGAAAATGTGTGTTCAAGAGTATGATTAACTTGAATGCTTAAAGAAATGTCACTTTCGAGGGAATGATGTTTGCCAATCTCATATGCATTGAGCTTGGCCAGTAACAGGAAGTTTCTTAAGTACCCGGCATGAGAATTCGGATAGTTCCCTGGCAATGGCGGCTTAGAGAAGGGAAAGGCTGAGACTTCTGGAGAGTATAGAGAGAAGATAGTCCTCATCCTTATAATCCATGAAGTGATTAGGATCGATTGCCAAAGCAGGCTAGCTGGGGTTTCCTGGAAGCCTGACCAGTCCAAAACTATTTTCTCCTTTCCTACATTTGAGAGGTTCCATTCATTAGCATGGAAGGCCATTCTGGTCTCAGACATCTCTTATCAAAATTTAAGTCATCAAATTCTGCTTAACATGGTAGCCTGAACACAAGCATTTTTCTGAATTCCTTCTCGAATCCCACTATCACTGAGTGAAATACTAAACACAGGGCAAAGAGAAGAGAAAGAAGACATACTTACTTGCATACCTTTCTCCTGCCTGGGATGGGGCTTGGTGCCTAGAGTTGGAAAAACCATCCTGAAACCATGAGGACAGAGGCCCTCACTCAAGATGGAATAAGATAAGGAGAAAAAAAATCTCAGTGCATTGAGGACATCTGGGGCATTGCTCCAGCCCTGGACACCGCCTAGCTCCATACTTCCTGGGACATGAGGACAGTCAGTGTGAGTGGGCTCAAGGCACTGTTATTTGGGTTTCCTGTTACATGCAGCTCAGCACATTCTTAACCTATGGAAAGAGTGTACCTAAAGCATGGGATATGTATCACTGAATCACAAGCGGGGAATGAGAAATCCTAGGTTGCACTGTGCATGGGCTTAAATAACACTGACTCCTATAATGAGAAAGTTATTCCTTTCAATCCTTCTGATTACATCGATAATAGGTCTATAACACCTCTCATTGGCTCAGCTTCTTTTTAGGCAAAGGGAGAGTACCTTTTCCAGCAACAGGATCTCACTAGAATTTAATAACATTATTTTTTTCATAGTATCCATATTTATGTTTCCTTTTATTGATGGTAATTGCTATTGATTTTCTTTTCTTTTTTTAAAGATTTTGTTTATTTATTTGACAGGGAGAGACAGTGAGAGAGGGAACACAAACAGGGGGAGTGGAGAGGGAGAAGCAGACTCCCCGGTGAGCAGGGCTCGATCCCAAGACTCTGGGACCATGACCTGAGCCGAAGGCAGACGCTTAATGACTGAGCCACGCAGGTGCCCCTGATATTGATTTTCTAATTTGAGTAGAGATATCAAGTTTTCTTGAGAAAATAAACATATTTCTAAAAATTATTGGGGAATAAAAGGGACAAATTAGCCATAGATGCAACAACATGGATGACTGTCAAGAACAATAATGAACAAAAGAAGCCAGATCCAACAATGTGCATAGTGTACAGTTTCTTTTCTTTTCTTTTTTTTTTTTTTTAAAGATTTTATTTATTTATTTGAGAGAGAGAATGAGAGAGAGAGAGCTTGAGAGGGGTAGGGTCAGAGGGAGAAGCAGACTCCCCGCTGATCAGGGAGCCCGATGCGGGACTTGATCCCGGGACTCCAGGATCTTGTCCTGAGCCGAAGGCAGTCGCTTAACCAACTGAGCCACCCAGGTGCCCCCATAGTGTACAGTTTCATTCATATGAAATTCTAGAAAGGGGAAAAATAATCTACGGTAACAGAAGCAGACCTGTGGTTGTCTGGGATGGGGTTGAGGATGGGGACTTTGCAAAGGGCCCTAAAGCAACTGTTTTGTGGTGATGAAAACATTCTACTTCTTGGTTGTGATTTCATTTGGTACACATTTGTCAAAACTCATTGAACTGCACAATTAAAATGGGTGCATCTTATTATAAAGATTATTCCTCAATAAGGATAAAAAAATGAAAAGAAGTATCTAAGTAAAACAAATTAATTTATTTAAAGAAAATATTGTGAGGGGCACCTGGGTGGCTCAGTCGGTTAAGCGTCTGACTCTTGGTTTCAGCTCAGGTGGTGACCTCAGGGTCGTGAGATCGAGCCTTATGTAGGGTTCCGCGCTGGGCAGGGAGCCTGCTTAGGATTTTCTCTCTCCCTCTGCCCCTCCCCCCTGCTTACTCTCTCAAATGAATAAATAAATCTTTTTTAAAAAAGAAAATATTGTGTAGATAACCATTATAGAGTGATAATTGGACTTCACAAAACCCATGGGGTGAGTTTCACATGGCTGGGACCTCAACGGGAGTTGAACAGGTGCTGAGCTCAAAGTTCTACAACGGCACCCAGGAGTGCAGCTACTGGGGCGGGAGCAGGGGCTGGGGAGAGCTAGGGGGCAGCGGGGAGGACAGACGACATGATTAGCCTATCTCACAGTTGGGCTTTGGCCTATTTGGAAAAATGGCAATTCTTTAAGAACATGGGCCATTTGGTCATAGGGGTGAATACTTTTCATGTGCTAACCTATTCTTCTCTTCCGAATATGCTGGCAACCCTTCCATGACATTTGCCATCTTGAGATGACATTTAAATGCCCTAATGTCTCTGTGTCCTGTCTTCCAAGGGCTCATCTCTGTGGGCTGTGCCCACACCTGCCCATGACCTCTGCTCTCCAGCCAGACCCAAGAACTGCCTGCCGGTAACCCCCCCCCCACCCCGCCCCCGATAACCACCCGCCTATTAGCCAGGAAGGGCAACAAGCAAACAGTTATTTAAGGAGAATCTTTTTGTGGACAAAAGCATCGTCAGCCCGCTGTGTCTAAGCTGGTCTCCCCTATGATTTCTCCCTTTAAAAAAATCTCTGTGCTTGGGATGTAAACAGACGCCCCTTCTAAAATGCTGGAGGAGAATGTAACTATGGAAACAACAAGAACAATAGCAAGATGCCCTTTGGACAAAGATCACAAAGGAATATAGGGGAAAAAAAGACAATGGCAATGCTTTAGTGGTAGAATGCCAGGGCATTCTCTTTCTTGTAAAAATTTACTTGTATGCGGCGCCTGGCTGGCTCAGTCAGAGGAGCATGCAACTCTTGATTTCAGGGTCATGAGTTCGAGCCCCACGTTGAGTGTAGAGATTACAAAAACATAAACTTTAAAAAATAAATAAAACTTTACTTGTATGACACATTTTTGGGAGGGTGATAAAAATGTCCTAGAACTGGATTGTGGTGATGGTTGTGGAAGTCTATAAATTTACTAAAAAAATCGCTGAATTTTAGGCACATAAATTATGCCTCAAAAATCTGTAGGTTGTTTATAAACTTTTATTTGTGCTCTTATCTGATTTTAGCAACGAGTAAGACATTAGAAAGTGAAACACAAAAACGAATGGGGATCAGATGCTTTATCATTGTAGTCATTGGTCTGTGGAGGTCCTGCTGGGCACCGGGCCCTGAGTGGTCTGTGCTTGGAAGACGTCAGGAGGACCAAGGAAACATCGGGAGGTCAGCGGAATGCCTCGCCCATGGACTCTGGAGGGGGCAATACTTCAGGGTCCAGTGGGTTCAACTTTCATCACTCAGATCCTGTATTTTGCTTAGGAGGCTCAGTCAGGTGGGTAATCGCTTAATCACTGAGGGCTATGTCAGTAAGACAGGAAGATGCCCCCCTCTTCACGGTGGGAGGCCAGGCTTAGGGGTCCAGGAAGGGGGTGCCACACATCTGCTGCAGGGAAGGGGGTAAAGCTACATCAGGGAACATGGGCAGGCCTCACGGCCCTCGCGGCATTGACCGAACCAGGGAAACAGGAACTCGTTTTGTGTTCAGACACATGAGTCACGCAGATGACGAAGCTCCAGGTGAACCCATGGAGGTAGCAGTTTTGTTTTTAAGTGATACATCTTGTTGTTGTTTTTTTTTCTTTTTTTTTAAAGATTTTATTTATTTACTTGACAGAGAGAGACATAGCGAGAGCAGGAACACAAGCAGGGGGAGTGGGAGAGGGAGAAGCAGGCTTCCCGCCGAGCAGGGAGCCCGATGTGGGGCTTGATCCCAGGACCCTGGGATCATGACCTGAGCCGAAGGCAGACGCTCAATGACTGAGCCACCCAGGCGCCCAAATAAATCTTTAAAAAAAAATCATTACACTTTTTGGGATTCTGATAAGAGTTATACATCTATGTTCACAGAAGTGCACACATTCTGTGTACAATATCAGGGTGTTCATGGACCTCACCCGCCCCCCAGCCTGACCATGAACTCAGATTAAGAAAATCTGATCTAAATCTGAGGAATACAGATGGCCAACTGCAAAAATTGTTCAAGTATATCACGTCTTCTGTCCCTTTCTCCTCTGCTTCTCGGTCCTTCTGTCCCATCCAGAGCTGCCCCGGGGCAGCCGTGCCCAACCTTCAAAATGACCACTTCCCCCCAGTCATAAAAACCCTTGTTCCCCCAGATCACATCCAACGTTGAGAAAAGTAGTAATATATTTTATACATCTAGTTGTGAGGTGGAAGGCTACACAGATTTAAAATGGAAAATTGTGAAGACCGGGTAGTAGAAAGGAAAAGTCTTACATATAAAGTTCAGTGGGAAAGAAACAAAAAGCAAAACCAAGTCAGACTGTGCTCACAACACAGAAGAAGAGCAAAGAAAACTGAAAATCTAACGTTTGATAATATTGGGATAGCGTCTCTTTTTCCTTTGCATTGCGAAGCTCTAACCTCCCTGTACTAGACAGGGCTGTAGCACTGTTTGCCCAATAATCCGAAATCTCGTCCCCTCATTGCTTCCAGCTCGGCTAGTTAGAATAACCAAAGCAGAGGAAACAAATTCCCATATGGTGTAAAGAACACCATATAAACACCTGTATCTGATGTAAATGGAATTCCCCAAACCCCAAAGGAGCCCGTAAAGGAACTTTAAGCCACCAGAACATCATGAACCTTCCGTAAAGCTGAGCCACGGGCTTCTTAATGTGGCTTTCCAACTTGAGAAAGGGCAAAAAGCAGAATGAAACATTTTCTGGTGCTTCTTCCAAGTCAGCTGGAGCACCAACTCTTGGGGAGGCTTGGGTTCTGAAGATGGCACTTGTTACTCCCAGGCCGGGATCCTGAAGGATGTGGGCACCAGGACCGCAGCATGGGAGTCCTCCAGACGCCCGCCTGCGGCTCGGTGGCCTGTGGGACCGGCGGGCCGGGGTCTGCAGCCCGGGCTGGGGAGAACCCGGCAGAGCGGCGGTTCTCGGCGTTTCCAGATTTCTCTCTCAACAGGCTCTACCTGGAACTTGCCCCGCCCCCAGCTGCAGAGCAGGCACCGGGCTGAGCCGGGCCAGGGCGGGCAGGCGGCCTGGGGACCACAGAGCCACAAGCCACAGGGAGCAGCCAGCCTTCATGCCGACTCTGAGCTCGTCCTTGTCCCCGGGGAGGTGAGGGATCCTGCAGAATCCTCTGGTTGTCAGGTGAGGCAGCAGGACCACCGCAGACTCCAGCAGGAGTGCGTTATGTGTTCTGGTTTGGGCAGCCTGACCCCTCAGGAGCTTTTTCTTCCGTTTTAAAATCTTCTTTCTTTCCCCTTTCTTTCTGCCCAGACCAGACCGCCTGCCCTGTTCCTAGGACGGGCGCTTCTGGTCGGTCTCCGCTTCCAGACAGCCGTGCTGGGGTGGGAAGGCCCCGGGGGGCTTGGGGATCTGGTGCTTGTCCCCATTCTGCCACTACGTGCCGTTTCGTCTCTCTGGGTCTCTCTCCCTTTGTAATAATGGGAATGAGAGTACCTTATGGGCCCAAATGAGCATAACTGTGACCGTGTAAGTGGCCCTCGGGGACCTTGTGGCCACCATTTGCTACATTCACAGTCTTGACTCGCCGTGGCCACAACACCCACTCCTCTTTCTCCTTTAGGATTCTTTTTTTTTTTTTAATTTTTTTTTTTTAAGATTTTTTTTTTAATTTTTTTTTTAAGATTTTTTTTTTATTTATTTGCGAGAGAGAGAATGAGAGACAGAGAGCATGAGAGGGAGGAGGGTCAGAGGGAGAAGCAGACTCCCTGCTGAGCAGGGAGCCCGATGCGGGACTCGATCCTGGGACTCCAGGATCATGACCTGAGCCGAAGGCAGTCGCTTAACCGACTGAGCCACCCAGGCGCCCTCTCCTTTAGGATTCTATACCAGCTCAAAAATTGCCTTGTTCAAAGTCTGTCAGTGAGTATGGCATTATTAAGAGTCACTGCTGGAAATTTTATTGTCTTTTTTTTGCATCTATGTTGAAACTGAGTTCAAGGACAATGCTTTTTGCTCTGTCTGGTGTTCTGGGGGGAGGTTTTTACTCACTTGGGGCATTATTCACCAGGCAGAGGTCTCAGAACTGGTTGGTGGAGCCCTGAGATCGCTTAGGTCCTGATCCCAGCCCCAGAGCCGGCTGGAGCCAGAGCTGGTGGTTGAGATCAAGATTGGCCTGAGGGTGGCAAAACTGACGTGAGAATGAACTTGAGACGTCAGGAGCAGGTCAGCTGGGAGTCACCAGAGGTATAATAACAAGTCTAGTTAACATCAGTCACCAACATAGTTACAGTTACAAATTTTTTTTCTTAGGAGGACTTTTAAGATTTATTCTCTTCGTAACTTTCAAATATACAACACGATATTATTAACTAGAGTCCCCATACTGTGTGTTATATCCCATGACTTATTTATTTGATAACTGGAAGTTTGTACCTCTTGACCACTTTCACTCATTTTGCCTATCCCCTATCCCTCCCCACGACCCCCCACCCCACCTCTGGCAACCACCAATCTGTTTTCTGCATCTATGATTTTGTTTTTTGTCTTTTGTTTAAGATTCCACATACAAGTGAGATAATATAGGTATTTGGCTTTCTCTGCTTGATATATTTCATTTAGGGTAATACCCTCAAGGCCCATCCATGTTGTTGCAAATGGCAAAATTGTCCTTCTTTTTTATGGCTGGATAATAGTCCATCATATATACCACAATTTCTTTATCCATTCACCGTTAAATGGACAGTTAGGTTGCTTCCATGTCTTGGCTATTGTAAACAATGCTGCAGTGAACATGGGGATGCAGATGTCTTTTCAAGTGACTGTTTTCATTTCCTTCTGATAAATACGCGGAAGGGGACCTGCTGACTCATAGGGTAGCTCTATTTTTAATTTTTTGAGGAACCCCCGTGCTGTTTTCCACAGTGGCTGCACCAACTTGCATTCCCACCAACCTTGCACGAGCGTTCCCTTTCTCCACAGCCTCACTGACACATGTCATTTCAAGTCTTTTTTATAATAGCCATTCTAACAGGTGTGAGGTGATATTTCACTCTGGTTTTTATTTGCATTTTCCTGATGCTGAGCGATGTTGAGCATCTTCTCACGTACCTGGTGGCCGTCTGTATGTCTTCTCTGGAGAAATGTCTCTGCAGATCTTCTGCCCATTTTTAATTGGATTGTTTGGGGTGTTTTGTTTTGTTTTGTTTTGCTATTAAGCTTTATGAGTTCCTTATATATTTGGATATTACTCCCTTATCGATAAGGTGTATGACTTGCAAATATTTTCTCCTAATCCACAAGTTGCCTTTTCATTTTATTAATGGTTCCCTTTGCTCTGCAGAAGCTTTTTAGTTTGATGTAGTACCACTGTTTATTTTTATTTATTTATTTAATTATTTTAAAGATTTTAATTTTTTTTAAGTAATCTCTACACTGAACTTGGGGCTTGAACTTACAACCCCGAGATCAAGAGTCGCACGCTCTACGGACTGAGCCAGCTAGGCGCCCCCCACTGTTTATTTTTGCTTTTGTTGCCTTTGTTTTTGGGGTCAAATCCAAAAAATCATCACCAAGACCGATGGTGAGGAGCTCACAGCTATGTTTTCTTACAGCCATTTTCCATAATGAGAAAACTGAGCCTCCACTGCCTGCCTTGTGCATGATCACCCTGCTCATGGCAGAAATGGAATGTGATGAGTGGTGTCTCAGGCTGCAAAAACAAACGACCACAGGCTAGGTGGCTCGGACAGCAAACATTTGTTTCTGAGAGTTCTGGAGGCTGGGTGTCCAAGGGCAGGGTGCTTGCTGGCAGATCTGATTTCTGGTGAGGGCTCTTTTTCTTGGTTTGCGGAATCTGTCTTCTCGCTGTGTCCTCACATGGTGGAGAGGGAGATCATCTCTCCTGTCTCTCCTTAGAAAGGTGCTAATCCCATTCATGGGGGCTCCACCCAAAGGCACCGCCTCCAAATACCATTGTATTGGGGACTGGGGATTCAACTCATGGATTTGTGGGGCACAGAAACATTCAATCCATAGCAAGGGGACAACAGCCTCTTGGTTTTTTTTTTTTTTTTATTTGCGAGAGAGAGAATGAGAGACAGAGAGCATGAGAGGGAGGAGGGTCAGAGGGAGAAGCAGACTCCCTGCTGAGCAGGGAGCCCGACGTGGGACTCGATCCCGGGACTCCAGGATCATGACCTGAGCCAAAGGCAGATGCTTAACGACTGAGCCACCCAGGCGCCCAGCCTCTTGGTTTTAACATGGCACCCCTCTCTAGGCCCTCAGGACCTTTTCTATACGCGACATTAGGTAAAGACATCTGCAACACAGTCACTGGATCCTGACAGCTCCTATGCCATGGAATGTGGTTTTCATGTAGTCGTGACTCTCTGCTGAGTTGTCCTGCTTATTACCTCCTGGAGGAGGCGAATGGAAATGACAAGTTATTTCGAGGAAAGCAAGGCTACAGCAGAGATTGTTTCCAGTTGCTCCAGCTGTTTCTTTCCCATGAGGTGACCCTGTGTGGCCTTGGAGAGATCTCTGTCCCCTGTTGTAGGGTCCCTTTACCCTCCCCGTGCCTAGCAGTTTCCTCCTAACCCAACTCCTTGCCATGAGCACATCCCACGGTGCCTGCTGACATCATAGAACAGTGGCGCGGACTTCCCATCACCAGCTGTCAGTCCAAAAGCACTTATGTTCTTTTCTTGGAGATATATTCTCTTACCACTAACATGCTTTACTATATTATTCTAATTTTCTGGAAGTTGTTTTTTCTTTCGTCATTTTTATAAACAGAATAACCTAGCCTGTAAATTGCATGGTGTTTATAATTTTCTTTAAAATGCAGTAAAAGCTCTTTATTTTTTTGGATTTCATTTTTAAGCAATCTCCACACCTAACGTGGGCTCCGGCTCACAGCCCCAAGTCCAAGAGTCACATGCTTCTCCGACTGAACCAGCCGGGCGCCCCTAAAATGCAGTAAAAGCTCTTTAAGTCATAAATAGTCCCACTCTTTCCTTGAAAATTCTTCAGGCTGAACGTGTATTTCTACACACCCATCACAATGTGGGGACAGGGACATCAGGCTTGGCATCAGAAAAGTGCAGTTGAGTTCTGGTTGGGTTGCTCCCCAGCCGTGCATCCTTGGCTGAGCCACCCAGCCTCTCTAGTCTGAAGTCCTTGTCTGTCCACTGTGCCACAAGGACCTTACATCATACTTCGGTGTTATCTTATACTTTGGAGAAAAACATAGTGGCAGGTAAATCGTGTTATTTACTTGGCAACTCGAGGACAGAGGTTATTCATTTCTCTTACACATTCCTCACCACAGTGCTTGCCAAAAGCGGGCACCAGTAAATATTGACAGTCTCCTTATTAAAATGATGGTGTTTATGACTTTGTGTAAAAGATGGGAAAGACAGAACTCAAGGGTTAGCTCGTGGCTATGTAGAATCCTTTTTGAATTCAGGTTCTTAGGGATTAAAAGAAGTCCCTGAAGGCAATTATTTAAATTGCTGAGTAATGCCCAAATGAATACAGATCAAGTAACCACTTTAAAATAACACTGTCCAATCGCAGTAGTCTGGGAACTCCTCAAAATGCTCAAGTTCAGTGTGAATCCTCTGTCCTGCTGAGTTTCATCAATATCCTTAGCAGTTTGGAATCTCAAAAAGGTTGGCTGCAGCTGATTGAACATCAGAAACTGAGCGTTTTTTGGTGCTTGCATGCCTTCTGAAGCAACCTAGATCCTGTCTGTAGTTAATAACACGGATCTTTGCAGATGAAAACTGTCCATCCACTTAAAAGTATTCTTTAGAATAAGCGACATCTGTGTACAAGGCATTGCCAGGCTAATGAAGTGGATACCACTGCATTCCCACCACTAAAGAGGTCCTAATTTACCTGGGGGCATAAGACACATTTACAAATTATTATAAAAAACCCCCCAAACCCCCCAAATTATTATAAAACAAGTGATATGTTAAGTAATAACATACAATAAAGATATAAAAAGGGTCTTTTGTGGTTCCCAGGAGGAAGGAACAGACTAAGGGTAGAGAATTGTCCCAGGAAATGGAATCAGCAAGGACCTTTCTCTTGGTTGTAGCCAGAGGGAACACACCCAGCCAGACACCCTCACAGACAAAAAAAGAACATGAAAGAGTAGGTTTCTCAGTAAAGGA